TATATATATATACAGTGCGTTTGTATATAATGTATGTGAAGTGCATGTTACTGTTTGTACTGTAAATTCATAGATTTGCTCCGTTTTAATTTTGACAAAATCAAACACACTCACAGATTAGCCAAATGTTTATGTCAATGGTTGTCCCATCACCACATCCAACTTCAAATATCTTATCATCGGGACCTCACGCAAACACTGTCAGTGGGAGTTTTTCAGTACGAAGATTAGGTTAATAATTTATTGAACTCAGAACAGCGGGACAGATAGCGGAGCAACTGATTGATCATCAATATTTGCACAGATTTTTTTTTCCTCGCGGATTATGGTAGTTGAAGAAATGTCAGTTAAATCCAAGTGTATTTTAACAGGACGGTGGGTGACTTTGGGGAACGAGAATCTATTTGTGACTTGTGTGTCGTCGTTTCGAGGTCATAATTGCATTTACACAATAAATTTGACTAGGTTCAATGGCCTCTCACGCATATGACTTGTCCAAAACCAACAGTGTGCTCATTGATCTGGGCCACTGTATTGTGTAATGCTTCACAAATTTCTCAGGGTAAAGTCAACAATTTGAGGATTAGCGCACACAGTTGACAATGAAAAGTTCAATAGATAGCCAACGCGCACACACAAAAGCATTCACAGAATACTCGGGGGTAATACAACACAATCTAACGAGATTCCGTACTCGAGGTGTGCCCCCCGCCCCCCACCCCTCCCAAAAAAATGCAATTTTCAACAACATGATTATATCCAAGGTCAGTACATTAGGTTAGTGATTTGGATGCCTTCCTCACAGTTCTGAGTTCCCGGTTTCCACACTTGCATAGTCTGCCCCATGCTGAGTCTTCTGTCTAAATTGTCCAAAGATGTGAACGTGAATGGTTGTTTCCCCTCTCGTGGGATGTCAAACTCAAGGCCCGAGGGCCAAATTTGGCCCGCCATATCATTTTGTGCGGCCCGTGGGAGCAAATCAAGCATGTCAACTTTTCCATGATGCTTGCTAAAGTCTGAACCAAAATTTAAAATTGTCATATGTAATCCATCATGACATAGAGATATTGCAAGCATCATCTCATGACATACTTATTACATTAACGTAAACAATGGCTGAGTTAACCATTATTCTTGACTTCTGATTTCAAAACTGGTTATCCACCAATTTGTTGTGCACTGTATATAAAGTCTGAACCAAAATTTAAAATTGTCATATGTAATCCATCATGACATAGAGATATTACAACTATAATCTCATGACGTACTTATTACATTAACGTAAACAATGGCTGAGTTAACCATAATTCTTGACTTCTGATTTCAAAACTGGTTATCCACCAATTTGTTGTGCACTGTATATGTAATATGTGGAGGTGATCAAACATTTATAGGGTTTCGCAAAATTCACAGTCATAATGGCCCGCTCAGGGAAACCCTAACTGCAATGTGGCTCGCTACAAAAATGAGTTTGAGACCCCTGCTCTATAGCATAGGTGTCACACTCCGTTCCAGGAGAGCCGCCGTCTTCCATGTTTTCCATCTCTCCCTATTGCAACACACCTGAGTCAAATGAATAGGATCAATATCAGGCTTCTGTAGAGCTTCCTGATGAGCTGATTATTTGAATTAGGTGTCCCTCCAGGACCGGAGTTTGACACCTATGCACTTACGGATTCAGCCTCTGCAATTGGCTGGCAAAAAGTACAGGGTAAACAGCGCCTCTCAGTCAACCATTAATTCATCCATCAATCCATCACTAATCCTGATCAAAGTCGCAGGGAGCTGGAACCAATCACAGCTGGCCTCGAGGGAAAAGTGGACACCCAGGAATGCTCGCCAATCAGTTTATAGGGCAGGTATCCACTTTATTGCTGAGGAATCTGATGTGAAAACAATTACGGGCGCATCGTCCTGTAAGACAGCGGTAGTAGCAGTTAGCCATTTGTAACAGCAGCTGTCACAATACTTTAATAGGCAATGACATATACACATTTGACATGCGTTTGGAATGTTGCTGATCAGTATTAACGTAAAAGTGCAATAATTTCAGTGCACACATAATAAATTAAGAAATTCAGTATTTTATCAGTTACTAAGTATTAGATTTCCTTTATCTTTTTTTGGAGCAGATAGTACGTTATATGGTTACCATTCAGTGGGAGGGGGTGGGACTGATATAAGATTCAGGGTTAGGTGGGATACTACGTCTGCTTTACGGTAAGTAAGATGGTGTGTCCAATCTCTTTTAACAAAACCTGACCAACATTGTTACTGACACGCTTCAAGATTTTGAGATTGCTCATTGCCTCATTGCATAAAGCAACAGAGTTCAGAGAGTAGCTAAACATGCAACTGGACATTTTGACGTCATCCTCCTACCTGGGCTACGTTACTCAGAAGCAGGATTGAAATGTTTTGTCTTATAAACTGCGTCAGCTCGTGGTTGTTTAAGTCTGTAACTCTCATAGAAAGTGGACTCGTGCAACCAATTACCATTTAACGCTTTCAGGGACAGCGGTAACTCCAGTGGACAGGTTGTCATGTTATCAGGTGCATGAAAGGATTAAAGAAAATATTAGTTGCTGTTCATTGGAAGTCACGATGGGCAGGTTATCATGTTATCAGGTGCATGAAAGGATGAAAGAAAATATTAGTTGCTGTTCATTGGAAGTCACGCACATCATTCACGCAAAGGCTCATGGCGCAGTGGAATAAGTTGGATAGAGACAGACAACAATTTACTCCCCAATTCACATTGTCACTGCGTAAGTACCGAAATGTATAAGTGACTCTAATTTTATCCACTCCACTTCAAAAACATCAGAGCGGTTTCCGTTTTTTTGCTGACAAAATCTACATTCATACCACTGAAACCGTCGGTGTAACCAAAAGTGAAAACCGGAGAGCTGTCAATAGGTGGGGAAACAAGCACAATATTAGATAATCATATTCATCATCTTATCTTTAACGTATTCGGTCAAAAGCAAAAATGAAGAAACTGGCCAACCTTTTCCAATACTTTTGGGAATTTATTTGTAAAAGCAACATTTTTAATGCAGCACTTAATTGTATAGGGTCTCATAAGTTCTGGAAACTTCCCATTTTTCAAACAGACACAACTATCAGAGGTTATCTGATACCGGGTACTTCATCTGACTAGGGCTGTATTTAAGCAGTCCAAGGTTTTGTCAATATTCCAACCAGGGATTAGTTACTTTGTATTACCTCTTTAACAGGAAAAAAAAAAAACCTCATCGGACTGCAGGACAGTATTGGCACAGCCCAGTGACAAGCTATAAACTGTGTGTGTATTGGAGGACACAAGTTAATGTGTGGTTATATTTAAACGACTGAGGAATGCATTGATTGTTGACCTTGGCCAAATGAAAGCCATTATCTCGCCCCCCCCTTTCCCACTCAGCTGATAAATTAATGAGAGAAAACACTGTTTACATCGATAATAGTGTCGCCGCCAGCCACAGAGACAGAGGTGGGGAGGCGGTGGGTGTGGGGTCAGAGGAGGAAACAGAAAGAGACTGACAAGGAAAGAGAGAAATATCAGTGGCATATCAGTTCAGGGTGTACCCCGCCTACTCCAGCATGCCAACGACCGTCGTGAGGATAAACAGCAAGAAGGAGGAAAGAGCTGTTGCTGTGTTGACCTCCGATTTAAGAAACTATACACTTGAGCAACGATTGTCAAATTTGGGTTCTCGGACTTTTCCAAGAAGTCAACAGTTGGTAACTAAGCTCCTGAAATATTAGTTGTTTCTACAGAACCGACAAACAGGATAGAAGCCTTTTTGTACGCGTGGCTGCTCCATTTGATTTTAAGTAAAAAAAAATAATAAATTGAAGTGCATTTAAGACATCAAATCCTGGACGCCAGTGAACCTTCTCCATCTGGACCAGGACAAAAGAGAAGTTTTAGTCAGTGGTCTTGAGGCTTGAGAAACCTTTAACCAAAGTACAAGATGTTTCCTTAAACCTTTCATCACAAGTGAAACACCCAGGTGTTATTTTAGACCAGGGGTGTCAAACTTATTTTTGTCACGGGCCATTTTATAATTACCATTTCCCTTGGAGGGCCGTGATGACTGCAACTATATAAAGAAGTCAAGAACAATGTTTATTCAACTACTGTTTAAGTAACTGGAAGGAGCGGTTTGGTAACAAGAAAATGCTTACAATATGTCACTGATTTATTACATGTGAAAATGTGAAATTTTGGTACACATTTTAAGAAGTATCATGGAAGTTTTCGTCTTTGATTTGCTTTCGCGGGCCACTTAAAATGATGTGGCGGGCCACATCTGTCCCCCGGGCCTTGACTTTGAAACATGTGTTTTAGACTGAACTCAGTTTTGTACTGCACATTATTATTATTTATTATTATTATATATATATTTTTTTTACAAAAACATACAGAGCCGCAAAAGACATGATAAAAATAAAAAATGGTGAAAAATGTTCCTCATTGGGACGAGAAGCTTTCTCGTCTTCACAAAGAAGAAAAACAATCGTTCTAATGAGAAAATTTCTCGTTCTCGTTCATTTTTAATATGCTTACATCTATATTTTATCATTTATATCTATTTATATACTTTTTGTTCTTCTACTTCTCCCTTTCATAATTGTGCTGCTGTAAATTGGGAATTTCTTCATTGTGCGATAAATAAAGGTTTCCTTCTCTTCTTATTAGTATGAGAACGTAGTATGCATGTATGGGAGACCCTACATTTCAGTTTGCATTGCTTTGTCCTTGTTTTGAGAGTATTTAGTCCTCTTTGCTGCCATTGTCTATGGGGAGAGATTTGTCTCAAAATTAGTCACACAAATACATCGCAATATTAAACACGTGTTTTTCAGCTCCACAAATATTTTGGTGATTTTCATCTGTTTTTTTTAATGTTGTGTGTACTTTTATCATCACTGCAGGCGAATTGTCGAATGCGCGTTTGTGGATCAACGAATAATATAACCAGAGTCTGAATCTGTATTCAATGAGTTCATTTGTTTTTCAAAACAAAACGGGAATTAAAAAAAAAAAAAAAGAAAGAAAAAAAGACTTGATTTGTCATTATTCATTTCAAAAACCAAACAGAAATAATATATGTTAATAAGGTTGGGGTTTTTTTGGTGGGAGCGGGGGGGATTACTTGGAGACCGCCTGCCCATCCGTGTTCGTTCCGGTGCCCTACTTATAGTTGTGCCACCCAGTGGGGATGATTTAAAAAACATAATTCAATCATTCCGATGATTTGAGGCCCATTCATTTTCCAATCCGCTTTATCCTCACAAGGGTTGCGGGGGTTCAATCAGCCTGCCATGCATGTTTTCAGAATGTGGGAGGAAACTGGAGTACCCGGAGAAAACCCACGCAGGGCCAGGGAGAACATCCCTCCACACAGGGAGGTCAGAGCTGGAATTGAACCCAGTACTATTGCACTGTGAGGTCGACTCGCTAACCAC